GGGGCGTCATAGGGGGAGTGGGGGGTGGGAAAGGGGGTGGGAATTGGGGGGGTGGGAGGAGGAAGATTTGAGGAAGGGGGTCGTCGGGGAAGGAGGAAGCGTCTAAGCTCATCTTGAGAAGCTTCGGCGGAAGAGCGCCTCTGAGGACGTGCAGAGTGCTCGTCCCTCAAGGAGAGGGAGGAAGAATCCTAGCCACGCTTCCCACAGAGGGAAGAACTTCCCACTTCAGGCTGAGGATTGGGTGGCTCTCGTATTTTTAATTATCATTTTTATATCTTTTGTAATCCATTTTACTGTTACAATAGAAAAGCTCAAAAGGACATATGGCAATTTCATGCAGGGAAATTGTGAGCAATGGAGGAGAGATGGAAACCCACCAAAGAAAATTTCCCAGATTCTAATATCCAGAAAATTCTGCTCCACACAGATGAATCTACTTTCCAGCATTGCCCTGGCCATTATGATGTTAGTTTCTCCCATCCCTGCAAATGTTAGGTGCGGCCCCAGCCATCAACAGATTGCCTAACCCTGATTTATGGTTTGGCAGATTGTGTGAACTCAGCCCAGAAGCTCAAACTTCTTAGGCATCTGTTCGATAACAAAATATATTTACAGCATGAGGTTAGTGAATACAAAAGTTGTCAGATCATTTCCTTTTGATGATTTTATCTACACTGATTATCTCTGTGCAAATCCAATTCTGGATTATCTGAAATAACTGTGAACATAATTATAAGTAAAATAATTGTGTTTTGTCTGGATTAGGAGGCCATTATTGTAAACTAGATTTATTCTTGTCTTAAACTTCTTGTTTTGTTTGGAGAACATTGTTCTTTCAAGCACAAGCATCTGAGCAACAATCATGTTCAGTAGCATATAACTTGTCAGAGTAATGCTAGGATTATCCTGCATTCTGTCTTACCATCCCAAGATAGTTGCTCTTGCTATCTTGGGCTCATAAAACATACAGCCATGATGTAGATATTGTTACTTCTGATATCTACAGTGGACCTAGCATACAACATGTATCTTGCCTTGTTCCTGAAGCCAGCAGTCTGCCCACTGTTTTAAGAATCAGCTTTATCAGAATTTTAAATTAGTACCAAAGAGATATAGATTAGAAACCTCTCTTGGGCCATGAATTTCCCAGGTTAGACATTGGACCATTCTATGTCAGATTCATCAACTTGGTCAATTAGTTGTAAAGATAAAATGGTGGAGGGGAGAGGGCAGATTAACATTTTTTATTACAATATACTGTTCTAACTTCTCACAAGTCAGGATGGTTTTTAAAAAATAAGCAATACAAATAAAAAGGACAAATTACACAAGTGGCCTAGATCTACCATTTGCACCAAAAGCCCATTGGTAAAGAATGGTTTTCATGATTTTGTAAAATCCTTCTCAGGGAACACTGAGACTGCTACTCCAGAGGGATGCTTTTGGGCCCCACTCATTTAATCATATAGGCTGGGAACCCAGGGCAACCCCTTGTGAAAAGGACACATAGGAAAGGTAGGCTAATTCTGATCAGGAGAAAGGATTCCACAAATACAAGGGTACCAAGCCCTGTAGGGGTTTAAATTCAAGTTAAAACCATCATCTTGAATTAGGCCCACGAGCCTGTTGATAACCAAAGCAAAAAACTCAGCATGTATCACATTCAGTACATGTATTGTTGCATCTGTTAAGAGTTACAAAATAACAAAATAAACTACACGCTACACAACAGCATCTTGGGCCAATTGCAGCTTCTGAGATATCTTCAATGGATGCCCAACTTAAAGCATGTTGCTGTTGCAAGGACATCCCATTCCAAAAAGGCCTTCAACTGGTTCACCCACCAGAGGGTGGCAGATCCTCCATGCGTGAAGCTTGTTCACACAACGATAAGGAAGCTGGTGGCCATTTCCAAAATCATTTGCTGGTATAAGCTATCCCTCTTTCTCAAAAGAAACAGGTATCCTCTCCTTTACATTAAAAAGGTGAGAAAGAAAACTTGGTTCTAGTTGCTTTGGATTGCTTCTATATAGATTTCTCATTTGAAAATAAAAGTACTGACCAGAATTCATGTGTTGTCACTCTCACTTTTTCCTAATAAATGTTTGCTAATTTGAGCCGAGAGAGGCTGGTTCTTTGGATTTATCATTTCAAGTCCTATTCATTGTTAGAGAAGTCTGATATCTGGCCACAGCATCATCCTGCTACTCAAAGAGTAGATTATCAAGGTATTATGCTGGTCTATGACTGTACTGTAATAAAGATGTTAGTTATTGAGTTGAGGGATGTCACAAAACTGCTTTTTCAGGGGAGGGCAACCCCATCCAGAGCAAATTTAGGAACTGGGATTGAGCCAGATATTCACTTATGAAGATCAATTCTGCCCCATGTGTTTTAATTTAATTTTTTGTGATCAGTCCAACTCTTTACAGCTGCTAAGCACTGATTCAGATCTCCATAGCAGCCCTGGCCTGGGATGGTGATGTATGGCTGGGTATTATCAGCATACTGATGATACCCCATCCTGAACCAATAGATTACTTCTCTCAACAGTTTCATGCAGATGTTAAAGAGCAGAGAGAGAGAGAGAGAGAGAGAGAGGACCTGTATATCACACATTGGAAGAACCAAGGGCCTTTTCTTTTACTTTACCTCACTTTTTCTTTTCCTTTTCTTCATATTTTGTATTTCAACTTTTCTTTTTCATTTCTAATTTTTAAATATGTATCTTTAAAATCTTAATAAAATCTTATAAAAAAAAAAGGAAGAACCAAGGGCCAGTAAGACCAGAATTGATACACTCCATCCAGATCCTCTGTAGCTGGAATCCTAATGTCTTTTCCATGCTCAGAATAATCACATTTGATCTTGCAGGAAGTTGCCCAAGTCATCTCACCGCACTCTATGTGGTATCCAAGTCCAAGGAATTGCAAGCAGTTCTAAGACTCTTGTAAAAATGTCATAGTGGCCTTTGAGTAGATATTATTGCAGAAGCTTGTTATAGACCACCTGGATAGGGAGAAGATATGAATGAGGCTTTTCTGTGACAAACGACCAAACTTTCAATGAGGCACACAACGGTGACAATGGGATATCTTAACTACCCTGACACCTACTATAAATCTTACTCTGCCAAGGGTCAGAGGCCCAACAAATTCCTGTGCTGTCTTGCTGACCACATTGTTTATCAGAAGGTAGAAGACAGAGCAAGGATCTCTGTTGTCCTGATAACTTTTCTGCTTTGTTTGATAGCAGGGTTCTAAGGAAGGAGGGGTCAGTACTTGATTCTTGGAACAACCGTGCCTAGATAAAAGAACTAACTCTCACTATAGCTTTGTGGCAAAAGGGCAAGGAATTTCATACTAAAACAAAGCATTCTTTCTATATTGCTAAGCAGTAAGGAAATAAGGAAAAAAAACACTAAAATCTGTGGAAAATCTATCCAGGGAGCCAGGGAAAAATGTGTGGCTTGCTTGAAGTAAATCAATGGCTGCAGCAATTAGTTCAAGGATACTGTGTTGAACCTAAGCCAGTTGAAAAAGAAAACAGCTGCTTTAATGTTCTTACTTCAGATTCTAGTATAGAGTTTGGAGCAGCATGTTGAGGTTTTAAAATAAAATGCTTATTTCAGGGAGGCATAGGACAATCCTCTGGATGAGAGATTCATTAGGAAACTTTAGGACGAGAGGATGAAATACGAAATCTGAGGCGGTAGATCACACTGTTCACACAGACAAGTCAGTTCAGGGCCCTATCCAATTAGAGGTAAGCATCCAATACAACTGTATTATTTTCACATTTATTAATAATAGTTATAAAGAATAAGTTGTTTTTTTTAAAAAAAGAATAGGAAACCAGATATTTTAAAAGAAACATTTGGAAATTGTATTCAACAAAATGATGGGATAAAGCCAAATGATCAAACCCTCCATCTTCAGAATCTAATACTACCTAATATAACATGCAAGATTTCTGCCTAAAAGATAGCAGCATTTATTCAAGCAAATGGTTAGAAGGCTGCATTTGACAAATTGCAAATGTGACAATCAAATTTAGTTACTACTTCTCTCCATCCCACATTCCCTTTTCTTCTCAGAAAAGCGCAAACTTTGTTTACTGCCCACTGACCGGCTTTGCTGTGGGAGAGAAACGATCAGAATTTGAAGGCTGGGCTTTCCAGTTTCCAGGAGTGTTTTTGCTGGAAGACTTTATCAGCACAGATGAGGAATGTGAGATGGTTGAGCTGATGGATCAAAGCGCGTGGAAGCCATCACAATCTGGCCGAAGAAAACAGGTCTTGTCTCAAGCTAAAGTCCCTCCTTGCTCAGATCTGGGAGGTGGGGATGGGGTCCTCTTCCAACCTTTGGATATCTGTGTTTAATGTGTTAGTTTTTTCCTTCTATTCTCTCTCCCTGTGATTTTTTTCAATATAAAAAGTTAAAACAGCAGAGAAATGTTAGTGGTACCTCTGGTGCAACTGCTTTCATTCTGTTTTGATGATGATAAACACTTGGCTTATTTAATCAGGGTTTACTCAGTCCAGTTCTTTTGGTTTATGTGATACAGTGAATTATGAACACAACCATAACTCTGTCTGCATAACATGGTTGAATGGTTTGTGATGCAATGTGTTACGCAAACCACTTTTTCATATAGAAGTACATAAGTATATATGTACTTCCCCTTCTTTTAACCAAAACAGCAGAAAAGAGGGAAAAAACCAGAATGATGATGACTTGAGGTGAAAGAGTAGCTACACTGGGAAGGAGGAAAAAGAAAGGGGAACAAAACTGAGCTATAAGTACATAATTCAAATCTCATCTGTCACAAATTCTCTAGACATTCTTAAGTCTTTTTTTCTTGTCATTTGACCTATTAAAATTATGTATCTTAAAACCAAATGAGAAAAAAAATAAAGAGCAAAGGGGTTGGAAAGGAAAAGTGAACCACAATCACTACAAAAAAGCAATGTACACCCATTATCACTGTAACTAAGTCCATCCACCTTGCTGCTGGTCATCCTCTTCTCTTCTTCCACCTTTCCCCACATTTATAGATTTCTCCAGAGAGCTAAGTCTTCACATAATGTGTCCCAAGTATGATAATTTGAGCCTGGTTATTTGTGCCTTGAGTGAGAACTCTAGGTTGATTTGTTTGATGATCCATTTGTTTGTTTTCTTGGCTGTCTATGGTATTCTCAGAAATTTTCTCCAACGCCAAATAGCTGAAAACAAATATTGAACATTCTTTTCATAAGCCATGATTCTTGCAGTACCAAACACCTTTTTACATTGTTGGAGCTCTTTGGTGTAATCTGGAAGAATGTTGTGTAGGACATTTTCTTACCACTTAATTGTTCAGATGGTGCATTCTCTTTGCATTAAATCTTTTTTTCAATTTGATAAACTTCACTGAGATGTTAACAGTGTCTATTTGCTGATGTTACTATGCAGGAAAAAATCTGAAACTGCATTATAGAAGTTAATTACAGAATTATAGTAGAGATACTGAGCACGGGAAGCATGAAAATGGCAAAGATGAAATGGATCTACACATTAACATAGCATCAGGTAGTTGAAATGGACTGGACACTGTCAGTCAGATCATACCATTTACTACTCAGGACATGAAAAACAAGGAATGGTGTTGCTTTCTAAGTCAGGAATGTTATAGTAAAACTAGTACTTGGGTAAAATGCAGTCAGTGACCAAGTAATGTCAATTGGATTTCATGGACAACCCTTCAGTATGACACTTATTCAAGTTTATGCCAACCACTGATGCACCATTGAGCTCTTTCGTTATCTAGCCAATGTTCACATAGCAGGGTTAATACTTAACATATTAGGGCTTCCATAAAGAGAACAGGCTGGTCCTTCTCCACCTATTCTAAAATTCCAGTCATTAATAAATTGGAATAATGCAACTAGATTCTGAGAACATTATTTTGTCCTGAAGATCGTTAAATTTCAGTGATTCAGTTATAGAAGTATAAACAGATTTCTCATAATTTTCTGAACTATTCTGTTATTTGCCATATCTAATTTGCTAATATTGCTACCTACAATATTAACAGTAACTTTAGTAACTTTAGCTGTACAAGAATAGACATCATATTTCATACTAACAGTAGCAGATTTCTTAAGGAAGGAAATTGAGGGCAGGCATTTCTTGGGTACCAACCAGCCAAACAATAGATATTCTCCAGTTGTTAAACAGAAAATATTATGTTTCAGATTCCAATAGTAGCAATTAAAGCACAATTAATCATCAGGATAATAACCTGCAGGGAGTGCTGGAATATGTTGATGCTTGTCTGACTA